GATGCCTTTAAAATGTGTTGTTGGTGAGGAACACTGAATATACCATGGACTGCCAAGACAACAAACAAATGTGTGTATGTGTGTTCCTAACAAATCAGTCTTGAAGGAAATACAACCTGAGTGCTCATTGCTCCTTAAAGGAAAGGATAGTGAAACTTCACCTCACTCTCTGGGAAGAATTTTCAGGAAGAACAGTCCTTGGAGAAAGACATCATGCTGGAAAAGGTAGAAAGTCAATGAAAGAGAGGAAGACTCTTTTTCTCTCCTTTCTGCTGACCGCATGCTGTAAGGTTTGGTCTCATCCCTGTTTTTCTAGGGATCCTTTACCCTTCTCCACTTTTCTTTTTCACTCTAACTCTTTTGCATGGCCCATGTTTCACTAGCCATACCTCTGTCTTACAGCCTTAATAAACCTTTTCCACTAAATTTTTTTTAAAAGAGAGAAGAGAGGAAGACTATCAAGAAGATGTGTTGCCACAATGGCTACACAGCGGGCTCGAGTGTAACAGAGATTATTGTGATGGTGATGCAAGATAGGGCGAGGCTCAGGTCTAGTGTTCATGAAGTTGCTGCTGGTCATAGCAGACTTGATGGCACCTAATAACAATATAGACCCTTTTCATAAAAATTTACAACTCTGGAAACTCAATGTTGTCATTGTTCTTGTTAGAATATAACTCGTGGCAACCCTATGAACAACAGATCTGTTGTCCTATCCTGTGCCATCCTCATCATATCTGACACATTTGAGCCCTGGCTGCGGTCACTATGTCAGTCCGTCTTCCATAATAGCTTGCCTCCGGAAATCCTATGAACCTGGAGAAAGGATTAAAGTCACACAAGTGTTGAGGACTTTCGTTCGTAGGGTCGCTGAGTCGCCTACAACTTGATGGCATTTAACAACAACACAACAGTATTCCATTGTTCAGAGCCAGGAAACACTGTATGGTTTAAGATCAGGAAGGGTGTATGCCAGGGATGTGTCCTATCTCTTTGCCTTTACACAGAACAGATCATCCTGGGCTCTATGAGAAGGAATGTGGCATCAGAATTGGAGGAAGAGTTATCAAAAACCTAGGTTATGCAGATGACACAACCCTGCTTGCTGAAACTGAGGAGGACCTGAAACGCTTGCTGCAGAAGGTCAAGGACTGCAGCCTCCTATATGAATTGAAGTTCAACATCAAGAAAACAAAATTCTCACTCTTGGGCAATTAGTAGCATCATGATGGACATTGAAGAGATTGAGATTGTTAACAGTTTTAGTTTGCTTACTCCACAGTCAACACTCTTGGTACCAGCAGCCAGGAAATCAAAAGATGAATTGCACTGGGAAAATCTTCTGTCAAAGACATCTCCAGGGTTCTGAAGAGCAAGATGTCAATCTGGAGACTAAGGTGCACCTGATCTAGGCCATGGTCTTTGCAATTATTTTCTATGCATTACAAAGTTGTACAATGACTAGGGATGATAGAAGGAGAATTGATGCCTTTGGGCTGTAGTGCTGGAGAAGAATATTGAATATACCGTGGACTGTTAAAAGAACAAACAAGTGTGTCCTGGAGAGAGTGAAACCAGGCATCTCCTTGGAAGCAAGGATTCTGGAGCTCTGTCTGACAAGGAGGGACCAGTCCTTAGAGAGAGACATTATGCTTGGGAGGGGGGAAGAACAGCCCAGGAGGGGAAGATACTCAATGAGATGGATTGATTCAGTGACTGGGGTAATGGGGGTAGGTGTGTCGGAGAAGGTGAGGTTGGCTCAAGATAGAGCAGGGTTCAGAGCTGCTGTCGCTATGAGTCACAGGCGACTCGACAGCACATAAAGCAACAACAACAATATTCCATTGTATTGTACCAGTTTTCTTTTCCATTAATTTGCCGATTGACACGTCAATTGTTTCCATTTATTTGCTATTTTGAGTAAACTCTCCCGCCTAGACCAGGTTAGATGGAGTTTTATTTAAAGAGTTTCTGTCAAAAGATTTATGGCCACTAGAGGGCATCACCACCCCATAGTGTCGTATTCTGGACTCCCCATCATCTCCCTAGAGAAACTGAGGCGATTAAGGAGGAAGAAGAGGGAGCTCTGGTTGCCTAGTGACACGAAGCTACGCTGCAATCCCAAAGGCACACTGTTCAAATCCCACCAGCTGCTCTGCGGGAGAAGGATGGGCAATCTCCTCCTTGGCAATTAACTGCCTCTGAAAATCCACCAGAAGGCCAACTGTGAAAACACACCTGAGCATCCGTTATGGTTCGGTTTCACCTCAATGGTACACAACCACAACAACAAGGAGTAGGAAGTGGACACAGGCCTCTGAGCTGGGGAGAGGGGGAGGGAGGGAAGGAGCAGCTGAATCGAACAGCACAGGTAGGAAAACACCCTTTCTGATCAGGAGACATGAGATTGCTTTTGTTCCTGCTCTGCCACTGCTTTTCCCTTTCTGATCTCTGTTTTTCTTCTCCATTAAATGAGGGCTTTGTTCACTTGCTATCCAAGGTCCTTTCCAACTCTGAAATGTCAGAAGGTGAGGAAATCACATAATGATGCCAACAGAAATTACAGCCCCCAGCTCACCTGTACTCTCAGGCTCTCGGGCTTCCTGCCTGGAGGAAGCATCCTGAACAGTGTGCCCTCACTTGGAGACAGGCAAGCAGACTGACCTCTGTAAACTGAGGGAAGACTGTTGCTTCTGAGTCCACCTAAGGAATGGCTAATAGGGCTGTGTCCCTGTGCCATGGGGCTCCTGTGGCATCCACTTTGCCTGTCTTCAAGGAGGGAGGCTTCTTCCTTAATCCGCTGGAGTAAGTAGGATGTGATCGTTCCCAGAGGAGGTTGTACAAGATGCCTGTCAGGAATAAGCACTGAAATGGATAGAATAGAAACCATCGCCTCCCCACCCCCACCCCACCCCCACCACAGATGCCGTCTGTCAGGAGCAGGCAACAGACGGTCCAGGGGTCCATCTGTGCTAATGCTTCACAATACAGCCCCATGTTTCCCCACTGCCACCTCCTCGGCTCCTAAGCTGATGGCCACTTGGTGGTGCCAAGGTGGGAGGTGGGAGGAGAGTTGAAAGCACAAGGGGCCTGGCTCTTAGCTCCTTGAAATCCCCAATCCACCCTTTGTCCCCAACAAACAAATACCCAGCCATCTGGATGTGTGCAGTCCCTGAGGGGTGGAGACTCACCTTTCCATTTACACCTCCCATAGGCGTTAGGGGTGCACGGACTGACAGACGGATGCAGACCCAGGGATGGGGAAAGACAGATAGAGGAAGACAAGGAACTGACAGACCCAGGAACTAAGAAAGGCAGGAGGCAGAAAGCTGATCTCCCCAGGTAGACATGACCACTTGTTCCTCTATTCTCCCTACCAAGTCAAAAGCCACTGTAAATTCCAGAACCTAGTTAGACTTGGTATGGAGCAGGGCTTAAAGGGTGGCTAAGGGAAGAATTAAGGAAGACAGCATCCTGTAAGGTTAAGACTGCAGGCTGGGGAACCAGGCTACCTAGGTTTAACCCCTGCCCTCCTGCTGAGTTACTATGCCAAGTTACTTAATCTCTCTGGACCTCCATTTCCACCCTATAAGGGATGAGAGTAGTGTCTATTTCACAGAGTCGTTAGGAGGACTGAATGAGTTAATACATGTACGTAAAAGCACACACGTAGCTGTGCATGGCACATGGTAAATGCTCCATAAATAGCTCAAAGGCATGACACAGACTTGGGAAAGATTGGAGGAGGGGACAGACCACGACAGTACACCTCCATGTCACCACCTTCGTTCAGTGGCTGATGCTGGGATACGGCACCTCAACCTTTAGTGCTGACACCCTATGTGGTGGCTGGCTGCCCCTCAGGCGCCAGGAGTGGACTGTACTTCCTCCTCTCACTACTTATTCTGGTACTATTGACGACAGAGAATTCAGCTGGGATATCCCCATTTCCCCTACCGCCTGCATAACCCAAAACCTTTGAGATGTTTCAGACTCACAGTGACCCTTATAGAGCACAACAGAAATGCCCCATGGTTTCTAAGGCTGTAAAACTGTACAGAAACAGACCAGGCTGCCACACTTTTCTTCGCTGAGCTGTTAAATGGCTCAAAATCTTTCAGTCACCAGCTGAATGCTTTAACCATTAAGGTCCTTTACAGTCTTGAGAATGGGTGGGGGAATGACCAGGGGCCCCTCCCAGGAGCCGCCCAGACAGAGGCACATCTCCCCACTGCAGTCAACCTCACAGCGAGAACCTGTCTACCTGCAAATAAGAATTTGAGCCCCCACTTTAAGAGCTGAGAGGGTTTATCCACAAGGAGTCACTCCTGATCCTCTGAGGAATAGACTAGAATTAAACATCCCACTTTCTGACATTCCGCCCCCTCTCTTTTCCCCTAAATACAGGAAAGGATGCAGCCCCTGTTATTCCTTCCTGGGAAAAGGACCGCCTTCTCACTTTTGGGGACTTCTGTACTGTCAGTTCAGAGGCTTCTCCTCACCCCCTTTTCAGGGACCTCACCCTACCACCCTCTGTCCACACCTTTTCCCCTGCACAATGTCAGAACCTCTCTCCCCTTATCTTGAGTCTCTCGCAGTCCCCTGGATCTCCTTGAATCTTCCTCTGAAGTCCTTAAAACCCCTCACAAAGACACCTTCCTGCCCTCATCATGCAAATCTCGCGCACATGCTTCCCCACAGACCTCCTCCGAGAATCAAGGAGACCTCGGGCTCCTGCCCGGGTCGCCCTGCTTTTCCCTTCCCCTCCGCACCAGGATTTCCCATAGAGCACAGAGGCCCCCTATGCTGGCTAAGGGGCGGGGCATGGTGCCCGGAGTGTGGCTACTGGTAGACCCTTCCCGTGGGCGGTTCTTCCCCGCCCCTCCAGCTCCCGGAGCCTATAAGGGGGCACACGCAGCTGCCGGGCTGGCATCTCCGAGCTGCTTCCTCAAGTTCTTGAGCAGACCGGCTCCTGCCGAGGGGCGCCACGTGCCGGAGCCATGACTCTCCGCCGACTCAGGAAGCTGCAGCAGAAAGAGGAGGCGGCGGCAGCACCGGACCCCGCCGCCCGGGCTCCAGACTCGGAAGTCCTGTCCGCCGCTCCGGCTCCATCTCCGACCCCGACCTCGGGCCCCACCGCCGCAGCCGCCGCCCCTGGCGCTCCGGGGGACGGGCTGTACGCGGCGCTGGAGGACTATCACCCCTCCGAGCTGTATCGCGCGCTCGCAGTGTCCGGGGGTACCCTGCCCCGCCGAAAGGTGAGTCCTTCCATCTTCTTACTCTCTGCGATCCCCAACTCTGTGTGCTCTACCATCCCTTCCTCAGAACCTGAGAGGACTCTTAGCGCCCCCATCAGTCCTTGCTGACCCCACAATAAGCTCTGCACAAGCACCACTGAGTGACCCCATCCTTCCCCTGTCCACTGAGCCCCATGTGCACGTTCAGAACCTGCTCACTCCCTTTCGCCCTCTGCACAAAAGGCTCCAGCCTTCCCCACCCACAGTCCCTGCTGCTCTGTAGGCAGTGGCCCCCTAACTCCCCACCGCCATCCTAATCTGGGTGGCTCTCAACTCCTGTCCCCACACGTCACCGCTCCGTCTCGCTCCCTCTCCTTCCTTCCACAACACCCCCTGTCTCCTACTCTCTCCGTCTGGCTTTCTGCCCGCGCCTTCCTCCCCTCCAGGGCCAGGTGTCTCTGGACCCCTCCACACCCCTGCTTTCCTCCAGTTGGAACAGAGAGGGTTAAAGATGGGGTGCTTCTGCTCACCTTAGCCAGACGGAGGGTCCAAACGCCTTGGTGGGAGAGGGCGGGCGGCTGGATACGCCGTCTGATTTCTTTCTGTGGAAGTGCGTGGGGACCCGCTGACTCGGGAAAGCACGCCCTTCCGAGGGGATGCCCCGACTTCAGGACTCGAGGCTTGCGGCTGTGCAGTGTCGGGGGGTGCCTGCCCGGGGTGGTGGAGCCTCCACTCCCTAGACTCTGGCTGGGACCGGACGCGGTAGGAGGGGTCACAGGGCACCCGCAGGGCAGGAAGGATACGACTGCACCCACCCTCCGAATCCCTGCTCCTTGAGGCTCTTCCTCTGGCCCTAGAAGACCTGAGCATTCAGAAGGGGGGGGACCCAAGAACCCAAGTTTAGAAGAGGGCCTGGTGGCTTTTCTTCACTCAAGTCCCTCGCCTCCTCTGTCACCTTCCCCACCAACCGCACCCCACCCCCCCAACACAATGAACAGCTTGTTGAGAATTTGCATTTTATGAAAATCGAGTTGAAAGACAAAGGGGTCTCTCTATGCTGCTCAGTCCCTCCTCCCAGGCCCATTTGGGGACTGCCCCCACCCCTGAGGCTAATCTTTGGTTCTTGAGAAAGAGGGGCCTCCTCTCTTGTTTCTTCTTGGCAAGTGCACAGACCAGGAAGACCCAGGGGGCTTAGGGGCATGTAGGCAAAGGGCTGGTCTAGAATTGGCCTTCTACATGGAACCTTCATTTAGAGCTTCAAAGAATGCTTTTGTTTCTCTGGAGTCCTTAAGTGCAGTGAAACTTAGAGACAGCTTTGAGATCTGATGTCTATTTAGTCCCAGAAAGCAAGGGGGGGGGGGGGGAGTGGCAATGTTGAGAGACCCAGTGGGGTGGGCCGTGAAGCTCTCAGATCCACGGCTGGTTCTTGAAACAGGCTGTATTGTGAGGACTCACACTCAGTATTTCTACCCTCCACCCTTTCACATTCAGTCGGAGATTTTGTCTCTCCAGACCTGGGACCTTGAACTCAACTTTTCAAATCAAAATCTGTGATTGAGAAACTAGGTGGAGAGTGAATGGACTGGCAGGGGGTTCCCAGATTGCCTTGCTAAGTGAGCCTGCAGACTCCCTGCTTTGAATTCCAATGGGAGAGAACACCTGTCTTACTTTTTAAGAATCTGGGAGGCCTGAACCCTGCAGACATGTGCCCCCTGCAGGTCCATTGTAAAGTAATAAGCCTCCGCTTCTCCAGCCTAGAAACCAACAGGGAGTTTGAGGTGCACATGCTTAGAATCCAGGAAAGCTGTTAAGCCCCCTCCCCACTCGCTGCAGGGTATGGAAGTAAAACCCTTTGGAGAAGCTGTGGTTAGAGTCATGTCATAAGCCATCAAGTCAGAACTGACTCATAGCTGACCCTCCAGTGGATTTTCAGTGACTATAAAATCATACAGGAGGAGATCGCTCCTCTTTCTCCTGAAGAACAGCTGGTGGATTCTAAGCGCCAGCCTTTGGCTTGGCAGCGCAACTCCTTACCCACTAGCCCAGAACTCCCTACCTACAAACAGTGGCACTTAGCAAACAGTTCTGTTGGCACCAATAGTAAGTCTGTAGCTGGGACTAGGGACAGGCAGGGAAGCAGGAACTGAAGCCTATGGTGGGAGCCCATGTGAAGGGCTGCCAGTGTCTGTCAAGGACAGCCGCCCTCTCACCTGCTCCCTCTTCTCTCTTCCCACCCAGGGATCAGGATTCCGAAGGAAGAACCTTAGCCAGACTCCTGAGCAGCAGCGGTGAGTCAGCACCACCTCAGCCCCCTGCCCTGGTCCACAGGGCTGAGGGCTGATAGAGAGGAGCGTGACAGCCAGGGGGAGTCATTCTCCACCCTTGAGGCCTGGCTCCCTGCTGGGAGTGAGGGGCAGGTCGGGGGTGTGGGCTGTGGAAGGGGATTGCAGAGGAAGGAGGTGGGGACTTTTGAGTCATCAGGTGCTCCTCAACCCACCCCCAGTCTCTGCCACTTACTCTACTCTGGAGAGCTCTGCATGGATGGGAGGTGGGAGAAGTGAGGGCTTCAACAGATGACCTAAGCCAGGCTTCCTGGGCTCCTCTGAGCCAGCCTGACCCCAGAAAAGCCTGTGTGCCCAGGCTATGACCCAGCTGTGTCTAGCCTCCTGACCTGGCTGACCCCACCTCCACTGTCCTGTGCTGTTCCCATCCTGTGCTGCCTTCTTAAAAGGTGCCTGCATTATGGAAAGAATTCAGTGGCGACCTCAGGGCCCACGACCCCAGTTTTCCTTCTCTGCCCACTGTCCAAGCCTGATCCGGGCCTGGAATCTTCTAAAATAGATCAGCAAAGTGCAGCCTGCTGGCCAGATTGGCTTGTTTGGTCCTGGGGGTGTTTTTTTCATTTTTGAATGATGGGGGAAAAACACAGAAAACAATATGTGACTAGTATTTTGGCCTGAAAATCCTCCAGTATTTACTATTTGGCCCTTTGCAGATAAAACTTGCCTGCAATTCCAGAAAACCAGAGGGAACTGGGGCAGACCCAAGATTTCCAGTTACCTCTTACCCACCCCTTTCCTGTGCTTACAGAGAAAAAAAATAAGTCTGCTCCTCAGCAGTAGGGAGGGGTTAAGGCTGGAGCTTGGGGTTGCTACCCAGTGTTCAAGAGGGTACATCTTGGTCAGGGAGGGCGCTGAGGGCCTAGGCCATTTTTGAGACTGGGAGACTTGAGGGGGCCTCTGGCAGCTGCTTTAACTCTGGCTGGGCGGGAAGGAAGGGGATGGGGAAGAGCAGAGGAAGCTCTGGGCTCCCCCAGCAGGAGAGGGTCTGGAGCAGCTCCAGTCCATTGTGTCCAGCGGGCAGGCCTTTAGTGCGGGAAGGGGCGGCCTCTAGGCTCCCCTCCTCCAACGCTCACATCTGGTGGGTTGGCCTCACCACAGCTGGGAGGAGCAGCTGTGGTCTGTGCTGTGGCTCGTGACTGGCTCTGGGGGTGGGGCCAGCCCGCCCCCAAAGCTGGGGAGCAGAGGAGGCTCCAGGATGGGGCCTGAATTTGGGGCCTTGGCTAGTCAGTCCAAGGTACTCCTGGGGGTCACTGGAAACCTCTGCGGTAGAGTACAGCCCTCACCAGCCCTAGTCCCTCCCATCACTAAAGGCTGGGTTGAGCCCATGGCACTGGATGGGACTGCATCTCGGGGAGGAGTTTCCAGCAGTCTGTAATGAGAGGGGAGTTGTCACTGGAGACAGCCCTGCCTGGATGCCCTAGATCAGATTCGGCCTCAGTGGAGGGTGGAGCTGTAGGACTGGCAGGCTCCTTTTGATCCCCACAATCTTGATGCCCTGTGTCCTGTGTCTCCTGCAGGAAAGTGCTGACACTGGAGAAGAAGGAAAATGAAACCTTCGGCTTTGAGATCCAGGTGGGAGAAGCGGAGTACTGAGTGACGGGGGAGGCCAGCCTGAGGGATAGATGGACACCACTCTGACTCTAGCCTGAGCATCTCCTTGCTTTTATAGACCTATGGCCTTCACCACCGGGAGGAGCAGCGAGTGGAGATGGTGACCTTTGTCTGCCGAGTTCACGAAGCCAGCCCTGCCCAGCTGGCTGGGCTCACACCTGGTATGACTCGGAGCTTTGGGAAGGGACTGTGACCTTGTTCTCAGACAAATCTCTTCCTGAAATTCATTTCCCTTCCTCTTTCTCCTTTGGGGAAGCCAGAAAAAAGAGAATGGATAGAATCTGGGCTTGGCAAATTTGCCATTTGCTGGGTGGCCTTGAGCAGTTCCATCTGTGAAATGAGAGTAATAAAACGTCCTCTCATCTCAGGGTTCCCTGGACACAGAGCTGGAGTCTGAGTATGGCAGCTGCTGCTGTTGCTGCTGTTCTGCCTCCTCTGGAGAGTCCTGTAGGGTCAAGAGTTAGGGAAGGAGCAAAATCTCATTCTATCTGCTTCATCTTAGGGATAAGGGCCTACACTATCACCAGTCTGCTCAATTCTTGGCTACCTGGGTTATCTACTTTAACAAAGAATAATGTTTCTAGTACGATACCCCTGGGATTGACCAATTCTAGAGTCCTCAGGCCCCAAGAAGGGGAAACTTGAAACTTTACAAATAGAAGCCCTTCCACTTCAGTTCCATCACTGTTTCCTTCCCCAGCTCCTCACCTCAATACACCCTCACTAGAAGTCCCTGGTACACTGGAATCCTGCAACATTGCAAAGTGGTTTGGGATCCTCAACTCTTTTTTGCAGGAGAAATGAGCTTGCCCTGCCCAAGGTCAGGAGCCTCTGAGAGTTGGTTGCCCAGGGATCAGAAACCAGGCCTCCTCTGCCTGGGGCCAGGGCTGTTTCTCAGCTGAGTGCTGCACAGCCTGCCCCACCTCTGCCTTGACCAGCCTGTGGGCTGGACAGAAATAACCAACTCTGGGGTAGCCACAAGGCTAGGGGTGGGGTGTACTGGAGAGGTTCAGTCTGCGGGGACAGAGCTTCCTGGAAGTGGGGTGAGGGCATGGGTATTTGAGAGTCCAGCCCCACTGGAGTCTCCTAGACTGGGGATGCTCAGACAAGCTGGCATTCACCCAGAGGATGGACAATGAAGGACAGCTGTAGTTTGTGAAAATGCTTTGAATGACGTGGAAAGAGGTATCGGAAGAGGGAACTGTGAGGAACAGGGAGTATTCTGCAGGGTTATTACCCTACCCTTTGTGGCTAAGGTCGAGGGGATGGAAGCATTCTGTCATGCACCATGGAGCAGATGCCTACCCTCTCTCTGCCTGGCAGGAGACACCATCGCCAGTGTCAATGGCCTGAACGTGGAAGGCATCCGGCATCGAGAAATTGTTGACATCATTAAGGCATCAGGCAACGTGCTAAGGTTTGTAGGCCCTGGGTCTCTGAGGATACCTGGGCTCAGCCCCCGCGTTTCCCACCCCCACCCCCACCTGTTCACTCGTCTCCATTCCCCAACTTTCTCAGATTAGAAACGCTGTATGGCACTTCCATCCGGAAGGCAGAGTTGGAGGCGCGTCTGCAATACCTAAAGGTGAAGCCCAGCTTCCGATCCCCTCTTCCCACACCCTTATCCTTGCACGCCTTGCCTCACTATTTTTTTGGGGGGTAGTGGCTGTTTTACCTATCTGAACCTCCTTTTAACGTCAAAAGTTTCCTTTCTTGCCTTTATTCCCGGGTGCCTTAGTCTTCATGTTTCTATGCCAATTTCTTGTTAGCTCTTGACAACAGGGTGGGTGGGGTGTCTCTTGCAGCAAACCCTATATGAGAAGTGGGGTGAATATAGATCCCTAATGGTGCAGGAGCAGCGACTGGTGCATGGTGAGTAGGCAAGATGGGAAGGGCCACTTGTATTATCTAGAGTCAGCCCTCTCCACTCGTCCCTTCCATATCCGTTTACTGGCGGGGGGGTAGGGGGGGTGTGTGTCTGTGAACACAGAGTCCCTGGGTGATACAAACACTGAAAGGGAGCCCTGAAAGAGTGGCCTAGTGGTAATGAGTTGAACTGCCAACCCAAAGGCAGCTGGTTTGAATCCACCAGCTGTTCTAAGGGAGATAGGAGGAATTGATTGCCTCTGAAAATGGGCTAGAGGGTCAGCTATGAATTGGTGCCCACTACCTGGTACAGAACAACAACACTGAAAGATTGGCAGGCCTGCTGATGGGCTTCTGAAAGGTCACAGCCATGACAGCCCACCCAGCCTGTCTGTCCTGCCCCCTCGTGGCCACGAGAAGGCACTAACAACACTGAGTGCAACACTACTCTGGGCTTAGGCACATGCACTTTTTATTTTATTCTCACAATAACCCTCTGGAGAGAAATAGTATTGCCACTCCTATTTTACAAACCTGAACAAGATGCAATGAATCTGTTTGCAATCCCTTCCTGGTCCTAGTGGTCTTCGTGAGGATTTCCATTGTTGGGATTTGCCCACGGTCACCCAGAAGGAATTCCCTCTCCCCTGCACACACTGCCCCCCACCCCCCATCCTCTGCAGAAGACACGTCTGGCTCGAGACCTGACCCCCTTCTCTGTGCCCTCTTGCCCTGGCAGGCATCGTGGTGAAGGACCCCAGCATCTATGACACACTGGAGTCGGTGCGCTCCTGCTTGTACGGTGCGGGCCTGCTCCCGGGCTCACTGCCCTTCGGGCCGCTGCTGGCCGCACCTCGGGGTCCCCGTGGGGATGCGCAGCCCACTGGAGGGGACACAGAGGACGCTGTCTACCACACCTGCTTCTTCAGGGCTGCAGAGCCACCTGCGCTGCCGCCCTTGCCTCCTCCCGCCCGCACCCCCGGCCCAGTCCCCGCAGAGACCACGGGCTCCAGGCCACCCCCAGAGCCGAGGGCCTGGCTGAGCCGTAGCGCCAGCTTGCGCTGCGCGGGGCCCAGTGGAGGCAGCGGGGGTGCACCGAGCATGCTCTGGACTGAGGCCCGGGAGCAGGCCCTGTGCGGGCCCGGCCTCCGCAAGACCAAGTACCGCAGCTTACGGCGGAGGCTGCTCAAGTTCATCCCCGGACTCAACCGCTCCCTGGAGGAGGAGGAGAGCCAGCTGTAGGGACAGGGGCGGGCAGGGGAAGGTATTTATTTATTTATTCACTCCAGCCAGTGCAAAAAGGAGAGGGGTGAGGGGACCCCTGGAGGCCTGCTTGGTTCCTGGCCTTTGTCCAGTGGGGAGCCCAGACACCCTTCCTCCTCCAAAACGCTGTGGAAACTGGCAGGGGAGAGAAAACCAGGCGAGCTCAGGGTTGGGAGAGGTTGGGGCCTAAAATGGGGCATCCTATCCTATGTCTTGGTCAGTAGTGCCTTGTGGGGTGTCCAGGAAAACTCCAGTGGGGAACTGACCCCACAAAGCCCTCTTCTCAGCTTTACTTGCTCCCCCACCCTTAGCCTTGAAAGGGACACATGACCCCTTTGCGGTCATTTTCCCACCATCCACACTACACAGTTCGAGTTAGCCAGTGGACCCCTGAGGGGGCAGAAGGTGCTGGTCCCCCACCCTCCCAGCCTTGACCCCTAAGGGCTTACCCCCTTTCCAGGGGCTAAAACTAAGTCGGGTCAGTCTGGACAGGGGTCCTGGGTTCTCTGTCCCCTGAGGGACAGGAATGGGTGTGTCCAGGTGGGGTGGCAGCAGCACAGACTGTCCACCATTTTGCTATTGTTGCTTCCTGAACCACAAACTGTATAAAACTGATGGTTTTGTTTTGAATCTGTGTCAATGTGGGTGACTGCCTGAGGGGGAGGGCTGGCTCAGGCAAGCTCTGACTCCACCATGCATCCCCCCAACTCCAAACACACACTCTATATTTTACATCTCATTTCTTGGAGCCTGCAGCCAGGAAAATCCATCTGAAAGATTTTAACTTGTATGGGCCTGAGCTAAAGGCCCCACACCCTCTTCAAAACTTTGAGTCTTTTTGCTTAAGTAAATCTTGAGCCCACCTCCCCACCTACCTACAACAGTGGTGATGGAACCCTGTCTAAAGTCTTTGACTCTTGCTGAGAAGCTCTTGGCACTTCTCTCTTCCTCAGATCTGGAGTCTTTTGAGGGGCAAAAGCCAGCCCTAAAGGAGACCTGAGCTATTACCCACCCAGCTTGTGGCAAGCCTAACTACTGGTCACACAATCGATCATTATTATAATAGGCTTTGGCTGACTTCTCAATACCAAAATGAGATTATAATGCTTGCTTGTTTCTCCTGGTCCACCCTGCTGTGGCCATACCTGGGACACTTCAGACACCCCTTCCCCCAGACCTTTGCACTGGAGTCTTCTCATAGATAGTTCCTTCTGAACTCAGGTCTGCCTCCCAAAATGCGCCCTACCCAGTCAAAAACAGGCTCATACTCCCCTAGGTTTCCGTATCTGGGCCCCCAACCCCGCCATAACACTCCTTATTTCTTCTTAGTACTGTTGTGTGCTATCAAGGCCGGTCTGACTTTGCTGAGCCCCCAGCATGGAAGGACACTGTCTTGCTCCAGTCACAGGACCCTGTTTATTACAGAACAGGCTGTCATCATGGAAGCACACAGCCAGACCTTTTCATGCCTCTAGGTAGATTTGAACCACCAACTTTTTTTAGATGATCACATAATCACTTGTACCACCTGGGGACTAAATGAGCACATCTGTTATTGTGATACGTCATTGAGTTGGAACTGACTCATAGCTGACTTTCCAGTGGGTTCTCAGAGGTTGTAAATAGCATGGAGGAGATTGCCTCTCTCTCCCACAAAGCAGCCAGTGGATTTGAACCGCCTGCCTTTGGGTTAGCATAGTCACTAGGCTACCAGAGTTCCATGAGCACTTACATAGACTCTCAATATAGCATGTGCTTGGAGCCTTTCCAAGAAGTAAGATGAGGTGGCTTCATCGCCTTCTGTGAAGCCTGGGTCACCCAGCACTGCGCCTGCTCTTATCCCTAGCAAACACACACATGAACTCACTGCCATTTAGTCAGAACTGACTCAGCAGCTAAGCCTCTAGCAAAGCTCTGAGGCTGTAACTCTCACAAGAAGAGATGGCTCATCTTTCTCCTGTGGAGCCACTGGTGGATTAAAACAGAGGGGCAGTGCAGCTCCCTACAGGCTGTACCCCCAGAGCTCCCCTCATCCTCAGCTGTAACCAAAACACAAGAGGCCTCTTAAGGGCTAAGTGGTCCCCTACCCAGCCAGGCCATAGACCATCACCTCCCTCTTCTACCACCATGAATGGTTTCCTTGCTTCCTCTATCACCTTCACCCCTCCACACAGCAGGCAGGGGGAGCTTCAAAAAGGAAATTGGCTCTAAGCTTCCTCTGCTTTTAAAGGCCATTATGGCCTTCCCTGGAGTAAAAGAATAAAATCCAAACTCTTTACCATGACCAATGTACAACAAATTGTCCCTCCAGACAGACTAATTACAGGCAGCACCTCCTTCTGGGTTGACAGCAGTCACACATGCCCCGCAGTTTGGTGACTGGGAGTCTGCGCACTGCACAGCTTCTCCACTACAGGCCAACACCAGCAGGAAGCCCTCCAGGATGTGTGGACCCAGCCTCTCTTCAATCCTGAATTCTTTCTCCTCCCATTTCACTTTTTCTATTTAAGACACACTGTTCTTTCTATCCTTTAGAAAGAATCTTTCCTATCCTCTATGCCATACCACCAGAAACTCAATATCCTCTATACCACACCACCAGAAATTCAGTAACTTCAAGTCAGAACTGGCTCATAACAGACCTTCCATTGGGTTTCCGAGGCTGTAAATCACACAGGATTTTGTCCATCTTTTTCTTATGAAACCGTTGGTGGATTCGAACCAACAGAGACATGGCCTCTGGGTTAGTAGTGTAACTCCCTATAGACTAGGCCACCAGAACCCTATTCCATATATACAGTTCTTTCCTCAAATACACCAAGCAATTTCCTGCCTGTGGCCCCTGCCTATGATGCTGGTCAAATTCTTTGTAAGGCTGGTTCCTCCATCCTTGTGAATTTTCTTATGCCTTACTTCCTCAAAAATAGTTTCCTCTTTCTCATTATATCTTTTCCTTTTTTTAATTCAAACAATTTGATCTATTTATTATTGTTGGAAATATGCACAGCAGAACACAGACTGTTTCAATTTGTACACGTATAATCCAATGATATTGATCACATTCTTGGAGTAATGCAACCATTCTCACCTTCCTCTTCTGAGTTGTCCCCCATTTACATACCCTCATTGTCCCTAAAATTTCTATCGAATCTTTCAAGTGTCTGTTGACAATCTTATCCCAGAATCACTCTTTCACTTATTCATTGCCATCGAGTTGGCATCAACTTCTAGCTGACCCTCCAGTGGGGTTTTGGAGGCTGTAAATCACACAAGAGGTGACTGCCTATCTTTCTCCCTGGGAGCTGCTGTTAGATTCAAACCTCAAGAGGGGCACCACCTTAGGGTTAGAGGCAGCCCAACTCCCCATAGACCACACCACCAGAAACTCAATAACTTCAAGTCAGAACTGGCTCATAACTGACCTTCCATTGGGTTTCTGAGGCTATAAATCACACAGGAGTTTGTCCATCTTTTTCTTTTTTCTTTTTTTTTTTATTAAATTTTATTCATTTTAATGAACATTTACAGAGATTTTGGGTTTTCATTCATTCATTGTTGCACTGTTTTCTCCACCCTCATCCCCAGTTCGTTCTTCTTCCCCCCCCATGTCTGTTTTAATTGTCCAATTGCCACAGTGCTTGTCAAAGCCAGTTCTGATTAATCTCCTTTATCAGTGTGTCCCTTGCCATTCCCTATCACTCCTCCCTGAGAGAGACTTCACCCTGATTCATAAGGAAAAGGGGATGGCGTATTCTCTTAGCTACTTCCTGTGGGTTTCAGGGTGAATGTCTTCTCTCACTACTCTAAAGGGCCCCCTTGGCAGTAGGAAACACGTAGACTATTACGGAGATTGATTTTGGAATTTAGATGCACTGTTATCAATTATGCTGTCCATCTTTTTCTTATGAAACCGTTGGTGGACTTGAACCAACAAAGACATGGCCTTTGGGTTAGTATTGTATCTCCCTACAGACTAGGCCACCAGAACCCTATTTTGTATATACAGTTCTTTAAACCTTACGATGCTCAAGGCAGACATTCTCCATTATTCTTTCTCTTAAGCAACCCCATTTTTCTCTTTTTCATACTTAACGGGTAATGACATAGACTTCTTTTGTCTGTACCTCTCTTTTGTCTTTGTGAGGGCAGGAACACCAGCCTTTCTACATTTGTACCTCCAGGGCCTAACAGAGCTTGGCACGCAATAGATACATAACAAAAGTTCGCTGAATTAATACCTCCTTGGGGCCAGCCCAGTCTAGAAGCAAAGTGGGCCTTCCTCCATTCCATTTATAATAGTCATCTGTAGGCTCTTCTCACAAAACAGGGACTCCCGTTAGATACGTGCACCTGGCCATCCTCAGGAGGGAGGACATTTGATCAAGAAAATGGAGCTTCCCTAAGAGCTCCCTGTTTGAACAGCTGCTCTGCAAACAGCAGCTCCCTGGGGCCCAGGTCTAGGGGAAGAGCCCTCTTGCACCTTTGTTCCCCTGTACAGAGGGCTTCCAGGAGACCAGCTGTTTGGTCAAAGCCTAGCCCCTTCTGGGGGTGGTGAGCCCCAGGGACATCCTCCTAGTGTTCTCCCAGAGCAAACACCCGGTCCCTCTCCCACCACTCATCTTGTGCTGCTTGTGTAGGGAGTGACACAGGTGCCCCCTTCCTCCGCTCAGCTCATTCTGGCTGCCAGGGTGCACCAGGGGAGGGTGAGGGGGTGCCCAGGGCGGAGCTGGATCCCACCTCTCAGCTGATGGGATGACGGCATCAGCACAGCAGCCTCCTGCCGTGTAGGTGGGTGACAGGGAGTGACTAATGTGCGAGCTGCGATGCTAAAAATTAACCCAAGGAGCCTGTTCAGTGGAGGGGGTGGGGGTGGATGGGAAAGGAGCAGGGACTGGGACTATCACGTGGTCGGTATTCTCTCTGCCCTGCCTGCCCTGCATCCACCCCTGCACCTCCCACCAGCCTTCTGCTCCTCTAAC